CGCTTGCGTGCTGCGAGCTGCTTCGGGTACAGCCACGGTGTCATGGCGCCAACATCGCAGAGCGGATTTCGTTCGGAAAACAATGGGATGGGCCCGGATTGTCCTGGAGAATGTCGTTCCCGATTTCGAAGTGAATGTAGTGCGGAATGTTTGGGGCCAAGAATGTAGAACAACAAACATCCATGTGAAATTCACGTCGTTGTTCGCTCGCAGTTCCAGGGCTTTGCATTGACAGAAATCCACGCAAAAATCCGCTGCCGTACGTTTGCAAGGTCGGTGTGGTGAGCCGTGACTCGGGGCGTGATCTCTTCCGATGTCTTTGACTCGTCTTCTTGATCCGCCTCCTCCTCCTCCTCCTCCTCCTCCTCCTCCTCCTCCTCCTCCTCCTCCTCCTCTTTCTCCTCCTCCCCAGGACCCCACCGCGTCGCGGAGCGGCAAAATAAACACGGCTTCCGGGTTCCCTGACCTAGCCCCCTGGACCAGATGACGAGCATCGGCCCAAGGGAGGGGTTCGAGGCTTCCAGGGGCCCACGCTGTGAAATTATCACGACCTCCTAATCTTTCTCCCACTTCTCCCCCCAAAAAAGGTTTTAAAAGTTGAATGAACATGAACTCTGAGAGATCCGCGCGGATGTCTTGGGCCGGCGCCTCTGAAGGGTGGCCCAACGCCGTTCCAAGAGAGCCGCGCGGAGCTCCGAAAGTCTTACGCTGGTGCCGTCTCTTGCCCCTCCGGACCCCATCCCCTCGGTGGTGACGGAGGGCAGGGGGCAGGCGGCGGGGGTTGGCGGGATGGTTGGTTAGGTTGGTTGGCAGGTGATGTAGCTGGATGGGTTTAATGAATTGGTTGGGCTCGCTGTTTGGGTTGTCAAGGGCAACCAGTTCCGATGCTCGTGCTGTCTCTTGCACTTCGGGACCCGCCTCCCGCTCCCGCTCGGCGTCCCCTCCCCTTGCTCGCGTCGCTGCGGGCGTTCGTCGTCGTTGCGTCGTTCGTCTTGGTCGTTGTCGTCGCTTGCCTGTTCCTTTCTCCCTGGACCGTGCCCCTCCGCAGGCGCGCGCGAGGCAGCACATTTAAAATCTTAGACCCCCCGTCTTCGTTGGCCGGCATCACGGCGTGGCCTGCCTTCGAGGGGCTATTTTTTTGTTGTTGGGGGATGCGCAGGTCGGGGGTATGGGCCCCAGCAAGTTCGCTTCCCCTGCGGGTTGCCGGCCCCTATAGGTGCCCAGATCCTTTCGGATCGCTAGGAAGGGCAGCGGGGCAAGGATAAAGGGCAAAGACGTTCATTCAACGGACAAGCAGTACGGCCTTTGAGCCAGTGTTTCGCTGAACATGTCCGTGGTTCCGCTGTCCTCCCCAGGGGTTTCCCTGTTTGCTCAGACCTGCACAGAGGACCTACCAATGAGGACCTGTCCTTTGCATCCAGCTGCGAAGCTGAGCAAACGCTCTCGACTCCTGCCCTCCCCCTCCACTCTCCTTCGATCAAGAAACAACGGCATAAGCATAAGCTTTCGACGGTTCGCGCGGACTTCTTGGATCATCTCTTGCATCTGCGTTTGGTCCCCCTGTCGGCGCCTTCGGCGCTGTCCCCGTCGGGCTCAGCGTGCCGTGGAGGGGGTGTTAGCGCAGATCAAAGAAATCCGTTCGGACCGTCGAAAGTTTCTGTTGATGCAGTTGTTTATTATTCTTCTTCTCTCACCTCCTTCGGTCGTGCTGCTGACGTTGTGCATCACGATGCTGCTGGCGCAGATGGGCCTCCCGCGAATGTGGCGGGGGCAGCGGGGAGGGAGGGCGCCGCGCTGCAGATGCGGCGAAGGCCAGGGGCGTGGCGAGCAGGGGCACCGTGAGGCGGGCATGGGCTCGGCGGGAGATGCATCGGCCCTCAATCGCCCTTGGAACGCCCACGGGGGCCCGATGGGCCCAGCCCCCGTTCGGGAGCGTGCGGGTTCGCTATCGGGAGCGCCTCGCCGATCTCTCGGCGATGCAGCGCCGATGCCAGCGCGAGATGTTTTTTTTTTTCTCCCCGAGCCGGCGCCCCCCGAACGCTTTGCCCCGCAGGGGAGCGGCGCAGGGCCACGGCGGTGCGGCTGCGCCGACGCTGCCGCGCGAGCTGCCCGCGGAGGGTCGCGCGGGAGCGCCCCCGCTCCCCAGGCGGTGTGCCGTGCTGGCGGCCCGCGTACGCCGCCGCGCAGGGCCGCTTCGCCATCTCGCGCAGGGCCCGATCCTTCCCGTCGCTCGGGGGAGGGCCAGGGTGGGAGGGCGAGCAGCAGCATCACCGGCGGCGAGCGTGGGGGGGGAAAGCGAGAGGGAGACGGCCGTCTCAGGAGGCGGCGGGACTGCTCAGAAGCCCTCCGGCCTTCTGAGAAGCTGCCTGTGTCCTGCGGAGAGGGCTGGGAGAGCTTCTCCGAACGCCGGGGGACTCCCGAGCCTGCTGAGAAGAAGGCCTTCCTTCTCACTCCCCCTCCCCTCCTCGCCCGCCGCCGAAAGCGTGGCCGGGGCCACGAGGCCGTCCAGAGCCCATGGCCCGTGCTGTGCTTCCTGCCGCCCGCGCGCACGCGCCGCACGCGCCTCTCGGGCCACGGCGCATGGGACCTCCCGCCCGAGTGGGGCGGGGGGGGGATGACGCAGACCTCGCGTCGCGGCTCTCGGCCACGCGCAGAGGGCGGTATAGCAGGGGAACCAAAAGAGTGATATAAACATAAAAGCTCGGAGGTCCGCGCGGATTTCTCGGATCGGCGCTGGACCCCCCTCCCTGGCGCGCGGAGCGCGCCAGGGGCGGCGCCGGAGGCGCCGCCGGGGGGCCCCAGCGCCGATCTGAGAAATCCGCGCGGACCTCCGAGTTTTTATGTTTATGTCACTTTTTGTTCCCCTAGTATAGGAACCGCGCCTTCTGAGAAGCAGCCTCCTTCTGACGAGCCTTTCCCTCCCCCACCCCCACCCCCGCCTGCGCGCCGCCATTCCTCATTGATCGTTCCTTAGGTCAGGCCGAATACTGTAAGGCGTGTGGATCAGCGGCTGGTCCCGTTTCTATCTGCGAAATCGGCGCGCGGTGTTGCCACATCGGGCGGCATTTTGGCTTGATGTATGTCGGGGCCGCTTTCCGATCCATGGATCTGGCTCGCTCGCGCGCCAGATCCACGGCTCCGTAATTTTCCGTCGGGCCTGTCCCACTACAGGAGGAATATTCCAGCATTGTCAAAAAATAGTCTGGGGACGATTTTTTAGCACTCTTTGAATATGTTTGAGTATTTTTGGAGTGTTCCGAATTTTTCGTCCAAAATCCACCTATAGGGGGACATGCCCGACCTGACCCTAATCCATGTTATCGTGCACCCGAATTGTCGGCCTCCTGGGGCCCTCACCAGCCCGCTGGGGCCGTCACACAGCTATTCCCGACGGCAGTTCGCGCAATTAGTGGAGACTCACAGCGCGAAGCGACGTTGGCTGGGTGCCGAGAGGAGGGGCACGTTTTGACGGTCCCAGGGCCCAGAAACGCTCCCAGCACTCGGAAGTCCGCGCGGGTTTCTTGGGGTCGGCGCTGGACCCCCCTTGGCAGAGCCTCCGGTGCAGCCCCTGGGCTCCAGCGCCGACCCCAGAAGTTCGCGTGGACTTCGAAAGTATAACATGTTAGGTGTTGCCGCCGCCGACGACGACGATGACGACGAGCGTGTTTCGACGGTCCGCCATGCCCGCCCATCCCGAGTGTGATCAAAAATTGTGCTGAAGAGTAACAGATGTGAGATATGTGCAGCTATATATATATATATATACATATATATATATACATATGTATGTATACATGTTTGTGTGTACAGTGCCGTTTGTAATACATGCTCCGCGGGCGGATCATGTATTAAAAATGCAGGGGTGTCGTATTAAAAACAAAGATTTGTTCATGCGTAAATTTGTTCAGAAATGCATCATGTGTTAAAAAAACCCTATAGTTTTAAACATCCTGTGTATTAAAAACTGCCCTGTATGTGGACATACAGAGAACGAACAAACTTGAGCCTGCTGCGCCAGCTCGCCAAGCAGGCGCCAGAGAGCGCCGACGCCAGAGAGCGCCGACGCCTGGCGCACCGCGCTGGCGCGGGACGCGCCGACGCCCTGGCGTCTGCTCCCGCGCGCGGGCGCCAGCTCGCCCCCCGATGCCTCGCCTCCAGACATGATCGCGCATCCCTCCTCCTCCTCCTCCTCCTCCTCCTCCTTCTCCTCCTCCTCCTCCTCCTCCTCCTCATCACTCCATCGTCCACTTCGCCCCGTGCCTGGTCCTCCTCCACCCGTCCGCACCCCCCGGTGCCTCGCTTCCAGACGTGATCGCGTCGCAAAAAAAAAAATGAGGACGGCGAGTTGTTCCTTATCGTCGGCCTCCGGGGGCCCTCGCCGAGCCCTGGGGCCGTCAAAAAGGGGCTCGGGAGGAAAAAACGGCCCTGGAGAAAGGGCTTGGACTTCCGGGGACGCCGCACTGAAAAGTCAGGACATCTGTCAGGAGGGGGACAACACACAAACACACACACACACACACACAGACACAACGAATCGTCGATCCCCAGGGAGATCTGGGAAGTGGGGGGGGGCGAAGATGAAAACCTAGGACATGGGAAAGTATGGGGAATCCCGGGATTTGTGCCTCCTTAGTTATCTCTGTGTGTGTGTGCGTGTGTGTCCCATGGCCTCTTCGGTTTGCTCCCGCGCGCAGGCGCCAGCTCGCCCCCCGCTGCCTCGCTTCTCCCCCCCTCGCAGCCTGAAGTCGGGCCTGCCCCTCTGCAGGAGGAGGACCCCAAAGTAGTCCAAAAAATAGTCCGGGGACGATGTGTGAAGCATCTTTTGAATATGTTTGAGCATTGCTCTTGTATCTGTTTAAAACTTGTCTTGAGTATTGTTCTTGTTCTTGAATATGTTTGAGTCTTGTTTGAGTCTTGTTTTTTTAGTTCTTGTTTTTTTAATGCAAAAAAACAGTTGTCTTCTAAAATCCCCATGTAGGGGGACAGGCCCGACTTCTCGTAGCCCACGGCCTCGAGCTGCCCCCCGCGGGGCCACGGCCTCCGGCCATCGGGCGCGGGCCCATGGACCTCTTCCACTGCGGCCTGCTCAGCCGCTCGGCCGGCGCCGTGCCCGCCTGGCCTCCCCGCGAGGCGCAGCGCGCCGTCGTCGGTGCCGCTCGGCTCCGCTTGGGGCCTCGGGGACGGCAGCGGCGAAGCGTCCTGGCTTCAAGTCGGGCCTGTCCCCCCTACAGGAGGATTTTCGACGAAAAAAATATAAAAATACTCACAAAATAATCCAAAAGTAATCCAAACATAGTCTGGGAAATATTGTTGTAGTATGTTTGGACGTTTTTGGGGGTATTGATGGGGGATGTTTCATTTGTCGTCGAAAATCCCCCTGTAGGGGGGCACGCCCGGCAGAACCCTAGCTCGCCCAGGGCTGGACCGAAGCGGTGTTTTTGGCGATCTCGTGGGCCGTTCTCGTTTCGATTGCGGTCTGAGGTGAAAGTGGAAAAGCGAGACAAAAGCGAGGGAAAGCGTTTAGGTTCAGCCCTGAGCTCGCTTATAGGCAGACTGTTCCAAGAATCGTTCGTGGCCTCCACGAAATGTTATTAGAACATTTCTGGCTGGGACTGTCTTGTTTTGACACATCGGGTTTATGTTATTAGAACGTTGTTTGTGTTCTTACAACAGGTCTGGGTTGTAGGAACATGTCGTGGTAGGCCTATCGGAATGCCGGGACGGTCGGTCCCTGCTCAAGTGATGTTCCAACCGATCTTAGCCTCGATCACCAGCAAGAATTTCGAGCACCAAGAAAGTACCGAAATTGAAGGGTATTCATGCGTCGGGCCCTGGGAGGCGATGCTCATTCGACGCTGTTTCGATACCTTTCTAGGTACTCAAAATTATTTTTGGGATGTGGTCCTTAAGTACGATCGGAGCAACAGAAGCCGAGAGTATCTCTGAGACCGCGGCTGGCCCCTGCAGTGTCTGAGCGGAAGAGAGCGAGCCCCAGGTCTTGGCGTCGCAATCGTTTCGCACCGGGCGATTTCGCGCGGATTGTGCCGGGATGGGAAGCCGGCCATGGGGAAGGGGTCGGGATTTCGGCGGACATTGTCTTCGAAAAATCCGAGCATCGCACGTCTGGGCACCGCCGACCCCGAGGTCTAGGCGCTTCCGGTCCTTCACAGCGGGCGATTTCGCTTCATCTCGGGCCTGGAGCCTCGCAGGTCGATCCAGCTCGAAACATGCCGCAAAAAGATGGGGTCTACGGTTACGATGTTCCAACCTACTTTGGCCTTGATCACCAGAGAGAATTTCGAGCTCCAAGAAAGTACCGAAACCTGAGGGTTTTCAGGTGTCGGGCCCTGGGAGACACTCGCCCGACATTGTTTCGACACTTGTTCGACACTTTTCCGGGTGCTCGAAATTATTTCTGGGATGTGGTCCTTGAGTACGATGGTAGCAACATAAGTCTTGGGTTCCAGTCGTGATGCTTGCCGATACGATGATTTGTTCGCGCCGTCGGATCTCAGGGAGCGGTGTCACGGTCACGGGGAGGATCGGACGGGCTAGGACGAGGATCAATCCGAAGCAGAGCGCTCCCGAACGCTCTCAGAGCGTTCCAAAAGGCTCTGAGAAGGCCGCGGCGCCCGAGACGCCGCCGAGTCTCAGAGATTCTCGATGTCTGTCCTCACCCGATGTCATGCCCGTCCTGGCTTCGTCCAAGGGGAGAATAGGGCGAGGAGGAGGGCAGATGGAGGGGCGGAGTGGCCAGCCTCGAGGAGGCGGGCGCGGGGGCGGGGGGGGATCGGGGGACCTCGAGGACCGGAGGCGGAGGGGGGTGGCGGGAGATGCAGGATCGACTGCACGCAAGAGTGACCGTTCGCGGGAGTGCCTTTCGGTGCGGGCTCGTCGGGCTCCCCCCGATCGACCAGCGCGATGCGATGTGAGCGGCCCGCGCCCTTTGGTTTATGTTGTTCCCATCCTACTTAAGGACCAAGTCCGAGAAATAATTTCGAGCACGCTCGAAATTCTTTCTGGTGATCAAGGCTAAAGTAGGTTGGAGCATCATAAACCTTGGGTTTGGCTCCCTCGCGCCCCCAGAAGCTGCGCACCAAAGGTCACTCTTGCCCAGGGTCACTCTTACGCCCAGCCGATATAGGAGGGAGGGGCAGGGGCAGGGGGCGGAAGGGCGGGAGGGGTGAGGGCGAGAGCGAGGATGCCAGCATGGATCCAGTATGGCCAGGACCCCAGGTAAGGGGGCCTAGTCAGTGGTGGGGCCCCGGGGCCCCTGAATGGGCCAGAATCACTGAACCAAGTCTGCCGTAGCTGGTGTTTTTCAGTTGACGGCAGTTCCGGTTAGTGGAACGGGGCGGGGGGGGCGACCCCCAGCGAAACCAGGTCCCACTAAACCCAGTTCTGCCAACGCCCGAATGCAGGGATGGGGGTGATGAAGGGGGGGGATGGAGTCGAAGAAGAAAAGACGGCATGAACATAGGCTTTCGACGGTCCGCGCGGATTTCGTGGATCTGCGCTGGGGCCCCTTGGCGGCGCCTCTGGCGCAACCCCTGGCGCGTTCCGCGCGCCAGGGAGGGGGGCCCAGCGCAGATCCAAGGAATCCGCGCGGAACTTCGAAAGTTTATGGTTATATCCGTTTTTCTGCCTCCATAGAGGGATGAAAGAATGGAGGGACGGAGGGATGGAGGTATGGAGAGGTCGCAGTGCGAAGGAGAGAGGTGATCCGGGGTGGGAGAGGGGAAGGAAAGAGGGAGGAGGGATGGTGGGAGGAGGGGTGGAGGGATAGAGGATGGAGGATTGGATGGAGGATGAGTGGAGGGATGACATGATGGAGCGATAAAAAGAGGAGGTTGGAGGGAGGAGGGGAGAAGGAGGGATGAGGGAGGAGGGGGGTGGGAAAAGGTTGGAGGTAGGAAGGACGAAGGAGGAGTCGCGCGGGAAATGGAAGGATGTAAAGCTGTTCAGCTGTCCAGGCAGCTTCGTAAGGTCCTGTTGGAGACCCTCCTCCAAAATCCCGAGAACATCTTGCGCGGGAGAGGTCGGTACAGTCGACACGCCGAGGACTCGAGTCTTGAAGCCTCTCCTGCGTCCCTCCCGGGCGCTTCTGAAAGCCTTTTGGAGTCTCGTGGGTCTTCAGCAGGGCTCTCTTGAGGCATATCGGCACCACAAATGTCGGGGGTGGACAGAGCCCCCACCCTGACACGTCGCTTAGTGACTTGTCCGTCGTCGGTTCTCGAGAGGGCGCCGCGGCCGTCATTTTCCAGACTTGCGCCCGTCAGGTTTGGGTCCGAGGTCGTTTTCACTAAACCACGTTTTACTAAAGGGGGTTCTGTCCATCCGAATTTGGCCGTCTTCAAGTGTTTGGAGGCCCTTTGGGGCCCCTCCTGAACCCCCCAGAGAGCCCCAAGACGATGCGCAAGGCCCACGAGGGCCCCATCAGGAGACTCTCCTGGATAGTCTTTGGAACTCTCTTGGCACCCTCTCGGGTTCGTCTTGCTTCCTTTGAGAGACGTGCGGAAGCATTCGTGAGCCCTCTTGAGCCCTCCAGAGGACTGCCTGAGACCATAGTTGACCGAACGGGTTTGGAAGCAGAACGCATTGAGAAACAACGAGTGCTGACCATTCGCGGCGCTTGTTGGGGAATCCTGGAGCCTCTATGTGTGTCTGTCATGTGTTTCTTGGGAGATATGTGGTGGACTTCGGAGGTATCTGGGGCTGTCCTCGAGGCCTCTGATGAGCTAACTGGCCATCTGGCCAGCATCTCGGCGTCGCGAACCCGTTTCAGGGATCCATGTCCGCGAGGTGGTCCCCGTACGCTCTCAGCCCCGTCCCAGTCGCGCAGATCGGACAGCCCCAGGGCAAGTCGAGAAGGTGCAACGTTTTCCTCCCCTACGTTGCAGCATCGGCCGATGCGCGAGTTGCGAGGCGTGCAAGCTCAAATTGCAATGGCTCGTGTGACGTCCGCGTTCAAGCCGAGACCGTGGTCTCCCAGAAGTGGGACAAGAAGATCCCACACGCCGTTACCCAAGGGGGTCAGTGAATTTACTACGTCGGAGTGTCGTCATCATCTATTCTGGTGGTCAAATTCACAGAGGCTCCTGGAGGCGGGGTCGAGTATAACGTCACCACTACAGTGGTGGCCGCAGAGGTGTTGAAGTTGCTGGTGGCATGTCTGCTCGATCGCGTCTGGTATAGCAAGGCGGCCGATAGAGCAATGCAGCCGCGCTCTTCGTGGTCAGATTACTTCCGCTACGCGGTACCATCTCTCATCTACGCCGTTCAAAACAATCTGCTGACCTACGGTATCAGCTTGCTCGGCCCAAGCTTGTTTTCCTTGTTGGGAAATTTGAAGATCGTGGCGACGACATTGCTCACCAGCGTTGTCCTATCCAAGAACTTCACGAAGATCCAGTGGATATCTGTACTTCTGCTGGTGTTGAGCTTCTTTGTGGCCAAGGTGCAGCTGCTGATTGGGCCACCAGCATCGCTGGGGAACACAGCACCTGTGGACCCCACTGCCATAAGTGCAGATGCAGGCACCATCGCTGAGATGGGTAGGTTTACGAAAGGTTTGATCGTAGTCATCGTGTTGTCGTTGCTGTCTGGAAGCGCAGCGATCAGTAATGAATACCTCCTTAAGAACGTCGATCCCCACGTCTCCTTCATGAGGAAAAACGTATGGACTTACCAGTGGGGCGTCGTATTGAATCTATTTTACCTGGTGCTCAAGATGCAGCGAGCAGAGTCAACGTCCATGTTCCACGGATATTCTGTGAGCGTTGGCCTTCTCATCGTCATCAATGCAATGTTGGGACTATCGGTGTCAATGATTATGAAGTATTTTGACAACGTTGCGAAATGCTTTGCCAGTTCGTTGGTTGTCTACCTCACTGCCGCATTCGAGTACTTCTATCTGAGCGCGCGTACTGTCGATGGTCCTTTCATGCTGGCCGTTGTGATATTCAGCATTTCAAGCTTCCTCTACATGGGCTCCCACAACGACGAACTACCCAAGGTAATCGTCACGGACGCGCTGGCGAGGTGCGGAATCATCTTACCAAAGACGAGAGTTGCACCGGTGAAGTAGTCGGAGACATTCGTTTCCTTGAAAACATGTTTTTCATATGTTACCCCTTGCGTCCGTCACCCCGTCCATTCCATTGCCCATCTCATATTTCTTACTCTCTCCCGCTGCCCACTTCCCATCTATATTTCCTGTTCGTTCTACGTTTCCTCACACATCGTTCCCTCATATCCTTCCCTTTCACTGCTGCAAGACAACAGGCAATCAAGTTGACGCTTCGCCTATCCCCACCAGCCCATCCAGAAACGATTCCCAGGGGAGTTGAGGTGATCAGGGAAGTGGGGGAGCATGGAGAAAAAGTATCCTGGCGAAGGTCCCAACCATACGCAGTTGTGGGTACCGTAATTGTGAATATCTGCTTCGGTTAAGCTCCCTATGGGGCCACGAAGCGCTGCATTGGGCGGGGGGGAACGCTGTACTGTGTGGGTGGTGTGCCGAATTCGGCTTCCAGGACGCATGCAGACGGTCCCACTGAGGGCTTCGGTGGAGCTCCCTATGGGGCCACGAAGCGCTCTACTGAGAGAATGGAAGTGCCAAATTGAGTTTCCGGGGCGCATGCGGACGGTCCCACTGGGGGCTTCGGTGGAGCCCCCTTTATGGGGCCACGAAACGCTGCACTGCGCGGGTGAAAATGCCAAATCACATTTCCCGGACGCATACGGACGGTGGCATTGGGGCCTTGGGTGGAGCCCACTATGGGGCCACGAAACGCTCGCTGTACTGGGTGGGTGAAAATGCTAAATTGGGCTTCCGGGACGCATGCGGACAGGGGCACTGGGGCCCTCGGTGGAGCTCCCTATGGGGCCACGAATCGCTGTACTGGGTGTGCGGGACGCATGCGGACGGTACGCTGGAACCTTCGGTGGGGCTCCCTATGCGGCCACGAAACGCTGTACTGGGCGTGCGGGACGCATGCGGACGGTAGCACTGGGACCTTCGGTAGGGATCCCTATGGGGCCACGAAACGCTGTACTGGGTGGGTGAAACGCAGGGAGGAGGGGGAGGAGGGCCACGAAACGCTGTACTGGGTGTGCGGGACGCATGCGGACGGTAGCACTGGGACCTTCGGTGGAGCCCCCTATGGGGCCACGAAACGCTATACTGGGTGTGCGGGACGCATGCGGACGGTAGCACTGGGACCTTCGTTGGGATTTCCTATGCGGCCACGAAACGCTGTACTGGGTGTGCGGGACGTATGCGGACTGTAGCACTGGGACCTTCGGTGGGGCTCCCTATGGGGCCACGAAACGCTGTACTGGGTGGGTGAAACGCAGGGAGGAGGGGGAGGAGGGCCACGAAACGCTGTACTCTGTGTGTGTGTGCGGAACGCATGCGGACGGTAGCACTGGGACCTTCGGTGGAGCTCCCTATGGGGCCGCGAAACGCTCTACTGGGTGTGCGGGACGCATGCGGACTGTAGCACTGGGACCTTCGGTGGGGCTTCCCATGGGGCCACGAAACGCTGTACTGGGTGGGTGAAACGCAGGGAGGAGGGGGAGGAGGGCCACGAAACGCTGTACCGGGTGTGCGGGACGCATGCGGACGGTAGCGTTGGGACCGTAGGTGGGGCTCCCTAACATGCGGCCACGAAACGTTGCATTGGGTGGATGAAACGCAGGGAGAAAGGGGAGGAGGGAGGAGGAGGAATGAGCGGGAGGAGGAGGGGGAGGAGGAGGAGAGGAGGAGAACGCGGGGCGACGTCTTCAAAACGAGGACCCAATACCACAGGATGGTTGGGAACAAATGGCGGGGTAAGCCGTCCAATGCCCCAAGAGGGGGAGGATGGTGGAGGAGAAGGAGGAGGAGGAGGAGGAGGGCGAAGAGGAGGAAGGAGGAAGAGGCATTGGACAAGGAGGAAGAGGAGGAGGAGGAGGAGGAGGAGGAGGAGGAGGAGGAGGAGGAGGAGGAGTGGCATCTTGGCGAGCCCATGGGGCCTCTTAGAGCGTCTTGGGTGCATCGGGTAACCTCTTGAGGCGTCTTGGGAGTTTCTTGAGAGCCTCTTGGAGGCCCTTCGGGCGCCTCTTGGGGCCTCCTGGGCGCCTCTTGGGGCCCTCTTGGGGCGCTCTTGGGTGCCTTGGGAGCGCTCTTCGGGCCATCTTGGGGGAGATCGATACAAACAGAGGGGAGCTGCAATTAGCCTTGCCAGTCTACAGTGCCTGAGATCGCCTCTTGGGCCCCTCTTGAGGCGCTCTTGGGGCCGTCTTGGGGCTATCTTGAGGCTCTCTTGGGCCCCTCTTGGGCCCTCTTTGAGCCATCTTGAGGCCTCGCCAGGCCATCGAAAGCAAAAAGGTGAGAAGATAACTTTCGTTGATTTTCTTTAGGTGTTTGAAGAATTGTTGGCCTCTTGGTGGCCTCCTTGGAGGTCTCGGAGGCGTCTTGGAGCCGTCTTGGAGCGTTCTTGGGGCCCCTTGGAGCATCTTGGGGGCCGACTTGAGGCATCCTGGGCCATCTCGAGCCATCTTGGAGGTCATCTTGGGCTCTCTGAGGCCCTTCTGGAGCCATCCTGGGCGAACAAGTCTCCCCGTCCAGGTCCAGGGGAGGGGGTAGCGGGGAGGGTGAACCCCTAAGGAGGGGGTTGGAAGAGGAAACTACCTAGACCACCTACGCCCTTAGTTGCCTCGATACGCCCGTTTTGTAACGCAAGACGTCCCGTGTTCAAGACGTCCGTGTCAATACGTTGCGTGTTGGCTCCACGTATTGGACCACGTTTTGGCGAGTGTATCGCGTCGGACCTACGTTTTCAGCCTACGTGCTGAGCTCCGTAACATCACGATACGTGTTACGTGTTGCGTATCGGGGCAGCTAAGCCTACGCCCAGAGGGTTGGTGGGATTCCTCAGGCACATCGCGACGGCACCATGGCTGCTCGTTTCATGACTGGCCCAACGGAAATCACAGTCGAAACACATCTCCTCGAACTTGACAGACATCGAGGCCAGAGGCACGTCGACAGGCTACGCCACCGAGGACCCACCAGGCGGCACAGGCGAAAGAGCCGCTCAGGTGGGGTCATGGAAGCCAGGCTCACCGCCACATACCGAAACGCGCGCCGAAGTGCACATGTGCTGCGCCACCAGCGCTCTCGGCGAGAACGTGGAGTGCGAAGCAGCCTTCCCTCCCGCGCCTATGGTGACCGGGCAGGCCCAGGAGGAAGATCCGTTTCTGCAGAGCGTTCCGGAGCGCAGTGGAACAGGTGTGGCGCCCGATGCATTCTGCAGATCACAAGGAGGGGTTCGACGAGGACGCTGACGACGACGACGACGACGACGACGACGACAATGACAACAATCCAATGATTTCTCTCGTTCCAATTCGGAGGGGCTCGATGTGCACACCATGTCGCATGTCGTCTGGTCGGCCAGGGCGCCAAGGAATGCGGCGAGGGCTTTTTTGGGTGCGCAGACGCTCCACCGTCCCACAGGCTTGGCAACTGGGGCGCTCCTACACCGAGCTCCGTGGCCGACCCAACGACGTGGTGTACACATTGTTCATGTCGGATTCTTCGAAAGTTCTTTGATTTTCTGGGGGGCCAAGATCCTTTCATTTCCAATTATTCGATCCTGGGCCTCTTCCTGGCCACTAGGGGGCCAGGAACAATTAGAAACGAGCACATTAGAAATGAGCACGATTAGACGAACGACGTGTGTACATCGAGCCCCTCTCACCAAGAGACCGTCTTTCATCCTCGGGCAATAGCGGGCGTGACCTGGGGGGGCGGACTGGGGAGGGGGCCAGTCACATCACGATTCATGCCAGCGTCATTTGGGTATGCTTAGAAATTGGCTCATTCCCAGACGGCGACAGCGCGAATCGTGACGTGACCAGGGGGTGGAGGGGGGGCGGTCACGAGCGTTATCGCGAACATTCGATTTAACACAAAACAGAGCCGCGAGGTCTCGGTTGGGTGTGCGTGCACCTCCACTCCGCTGGACCTCCGAGCAGCCCACGCAAGTGGCGACAGTTGCGTATTTCGCAGTCCCCCAGGAGAGCCGCGAGATCTCGACTGGGTGCGCGTGCAACTCCACTCCGCTGGACCTCCCAGGAACCCACGCAAGTGGCGACAGTTGCGCACGTCGCAGCCCCCCCAGGAGGGCCGCGAGGACTCGGCAGGGTGTGCGCACAACTCCAGTCAGCTGGACCTGTCAGGAGCTGTTCGCAGCCCCCCAGGGATCCGCGAGGTCTCGGCTGGGTGTGCGTGTCCCCCTGCTCTGCTGGGCCTCCCTGGAGCCCACGACGAAGGCGACGGAGCGCACAGTGTTTTGTTCAAAAGGGGAACTCAACACAGGGAGGGTTGGGGACAAAGCAGGAGCAGGGAGATGTTGGCGGCCTGGGAGGCAACCTCAGGGCAAGCTCTGAGGGGGGGCAGAGCTGCAAGGAAAAGGTCGCAACCCACAGGGCTCAGTTCGACTCCACCGACCTGATTCGGTTCGGTTTCGATCGATCTCGTGTCCGATCAGATTCGTTTTCGGATTTCGATGTGGGCTTCGGCTTCTCAATGCGGCTCCTTACTAGCCTGTCGATCTCTGCCGATTCGGCTTCTCCCGACTTCGCTGCCGATGTCCGCCAATCCGATTCGCTTTGATTGCCGACCCGACTTATCGATCCAATTCTGGGCTCTCCTGAACCCAGAGGCACAAGGCGAGAAACAAGGGTCAGAAAACCAGCGCGTCATGCCGCCCCGCCCCTTCGCCCTTGCCCAACCCCGCGGTGAGGTAGTGTGGGCAGGGCAAGGTACTCGTGGTGTAGGGCAGCCTGGGTAAACATCGTACAGCGCGCTGGTGTGCCAGCAGTGCAGGGCAGCCTACGGTGGAACCTGTAGAGTCCGCGGGCGGCACGGTGTGCGAGACGGTCAGGCGCCGGTCGAAGCGAGCAGTGGGCTGCACCGGAGGCTAACACAGGCACGAAGCGAAAGAGCGAGAGGCGAGAAGAGAGGCAAGGCGTGGCCCGTTCAGACCACGCGGGTCGGCGCGGGAGTGCTCGGGGGGGGCCATGCAGCTGCGGACGAGCGGCGGGACACATCGGCGCGAGGGGGGAGGCCTCGCGTAGGAGTCGGAAGAGCACCGGGA